GAATTACATCTTTATAATTGTTGCCACTTGTTTCACTTTACTTGAGGTAAGAGATAATATTAATGATACTGTAATAACACTTATTGACACCTTCATAACTGGTCCCACTTGTTCCACTTGATGTAAAAGGAATTATTAATGACTCTTATTAAATCATTTGACAATGTAATAAAGCTTAGTGAATTGTTTATTGTTGGTCCTACTTGTTTCACTTTATTTCAGGTAGGGGAAATATTAATTACTGTTTTGTTACTGTTTTTTAGTGTAATAACACTTAATGACATTATAACATATTTATGACACATGATTCTTGGTTAATGTCAAGTTGTCATAATGAAGACATTTTTCTCTACGTTGATAAGTTGTCAAAGACATTTTGAATAATGTCAACTTTTGTATTAAAAGTGTTATAATTTACCGAATGACACTTTATGACAACAGTCATAAAGTGTCATGAAGACTTCCTCATGTTCATGACAGGTGTTATGAGTCTTATACACACCCCGTCAAATAAAGTGTTACCCCAACACAAGTTACAGTTTGAATGTTGTATTTCAAAACAAGAACAAGATCAAATAGCACTGGCAGCAAAATACAGCAAAGGTCACACAGTATGCCAACCTGTTATGTTTTCTTTCCCACACATTTCAGAAAACTGCTTGCCATAGAGACTGTAATAAACCAAGTCCTTAATTGGAAATACTTGATACAGTATGCATTTAAATGATCCATCATAATAAAGAGCGTCCACTCTGCCACACAAAATAAAAGCAAGGATATTCATCATCTCAAGTGTCGTGCAAAGGTCCTAACAATGTTGAAAACTGTAGGTTGGATTAATGTACAGAAATTGTAGAGCAGAGGTCTCATTCTCGCGGCCCGCAGGACTTTGTCTCGTGGCCCCCACCGTGATATGACAGTATAATATTAGTGGGGCCCACAGGGTGAGCGGACCTCTGAAGGAAGTCCCGCCCGCTGTTCCTCGTCATGGCTGACATTCGGTGCTAGGCTAAGCTACACTGACTTCATCCACACTACGCTTGTAACAATAATGTGGTGGATGATGGAACAGTCCGGTACCAGTTGCCCTTCTCTGCAGTCGCCATTCCGGTACTTTCTACCATTAACAAATGCCACGATCAAACGCAGAGAAAGGCGACTGCTACCAGGCTGCTCGTCATCCACCGTGCTGTTGTGACAAGTAAAAGCGGTAATGACGTCACGCGTCGAGACGTTCTCCATACGTTGCTAGCTGGCTAAAGACTTGTATGAAACATAGAACAAAAACGACACCAAGTGGAATAAACTAAATTTTGTCACAACCTCATTATGTCTTTGTCAAAGCCAATGCTTGTAGTTCATGTTTTGGAGAAATAATTAAATATTGATGACATTTGAGGATATTTTTTAAATGTTTTTTGTGGAATCCTTTATGCAGCCCAGCCTCACCCAGACTTTGCCTCCAGTGGACCCCGGGTAAATTGAGTTTGAGTCCCCTGTTGTAGAGGAATTCATAGTACTTTGCACTGAAGGTGAAGTGTGCTTTGAAAGGTCATCGATAGCTGCAATGGATGGTCTTGTGATCCACTGATGGTGAAGTGTCTTTGGTGTTGCTCTTGTTTTCACCAACATGCAGGAGTAAAGGCCGTCCTGGTTCCACACCAATGAGGAAGGCTTCAAGACTGGCTCCCATCTTTGACAAAATGCTGAAAAGATGAATAATAAAAATTAACTATATATAGCATAGCTACATTCAAATAGCAAACTAAGATAGAAGTACTTTATTCATCCCAACCTGGAAATTACTGTGCAGTTGCAGCATACACATACACACAGATCAATTACAATATAAAAATAAAAAATAAGATGTATGCATAAAATATAAAATGTAAGATGTAAGATTCTGTACAGTATGAACAGTGAAAATTAATAATCTGTACAGTCTGTACAATAGTGCTTTGTAAATAATCAGTACAATATCGATTAATGAGCAGATATGTACAAAGGTAACTTAACGTTTGTTATATAAAGTGATAGCCTGTGGCAGGAAAGATTTCCTGTATCTGTCCCTGCGACAACGGAGCTGAAGCAGTCTGTGTGAGAAAGTGCTCCGCTGTCTATCAACTGTGTGATGGAGGGGGTGCAGCTTGTTGGCCATGATAGACAACAGCTTCTTCAACGTTCTCCTCTCCACCACATTTTCCAGGGTCTCCAATTGCAGACCCATTACAGAGCCAGCTTTCCTGATGACCCCATTCAGTCTTTTAGAGTCGCTGGCTCTGATGCTGCTACCCCAACACACAACAGCAAAGAAAATGGCACCAGCAACAATGCTGTTGTATAACATCTCCAACATCTTGCTGAACACATTAAAGGATCTAAGCTTCCTTAGGAAATAGAGTCTGCTCATCCCCTTCTTGTACACAGCATCAGTATTGGATGACCAGTGTAGACTGTTGCCGATCACCACTCCCAAATATTTATAGTCCTCCACCTCCTCCACCACCTCCCCCTTAATCCTCAGTGGCTGTGAAGGCGTCTTCCTCCTCCTGAAGTCGATCACCATCTCTCTGGTCTTACTGATGTTAAGCCTCAGGTGATTCCTGTCAGACCACTCCACAAAGCCGTCCACCAGTGTCCTGTACTCCCCCTCCTCTCCACCTCTCACACACCCGACAATCGCCGAGTCATCGGAAAACTTACAGAAGTTTTCCGATGACTACAGAGATGACATGACTCAGAATTGTACTGAAAATCAGTGGTGTACAGAGTAAAGAGAAAAGGAGAGAGCACAGTTCCCTGCGGAGCTCCGACATCACTGACCACCCCACCAGACAAGACACTGCCCAGACGGACAAACTGTGGCCTGCCAGTCAGGTAGTCAATAACCCAGGAGATCACAGACACTCATCCCCCGCAGCTTCTCACCCAATAGCAGAGGCTGGACAGTGTTGAAGGCACTCGAGAAATCAAAAAATGTGATTCTCACCGTGTCTCCTCCACCATCCAGGTGCATGTGGGCTCGTTGCAGCAGGAAGATGACAGCATCATCAACTCCTAAGTGCGGCTGGTAGGCAAATTGTAGAGGGTCCAAAAACGTCATCACCCTAGGCCTCAGCTTGGCAAGGATCAGTCTCTCCATAACCTTCATCACATGAGATGTTAGAGCAACAGGTCTGTAGTCCTCTGGGTCTGACGGTCTCGCCTTCTTGGGCACAGGAACTATGTGTGACGTCTTCCATAGCAACGGGACCCTCTGCAGACTCAAGCTCAGGTTGTACAGGAGACAGCTGACTGGCGCAGGTCCTCAAGACCCTTGGTGTAATGCTGTCCGGGCCTGCCGCCTTCCCCTGGTGAAGTCTTTCAAGCTGCCTCTTAACCTGGCCAGCGGTCACCAGTAGTTGAGGGTTGGTGTTATTGTCTGTGGAGAAGGAGGGGGAGGAGGTGAGAGAGTAGGAGGAGGGAGAGGGTGGGCAGATGGAGGGGGGTCGTGCAGGAGAAAGCTGAAAGGTGTGTAGAGCAACTTGAGACGATGTGGATGTGTGGGGAGATGGAGGCAACAGGGGAGTAGCCGTGGGTGAGCTAAACCTGTTAAAAAACTGGTTAAACTGGTTTGCCCTCTCCAGACTCCCTGCCATCAGTGTGTCCTTCCCCTTCAACCCAATGATGAGTTTTAAACCCGTCCACACATCTTTCACACAATTCTGCTCAAGTTTGGACTCAAGCTTCCTCCTGTAGTTGTCCCTGCATTTCCTCAGTGTCTCCTTGAGTTCACGCCGCACTCTCCTTTGCTCATCTCTGTCTCCAACCCTGAAAGTCATCTTCTTTTTATTTAGAAGTGCCTTCAGATCACTTGTAATCCAAGGTTTGTTTTTAGGGAAGCAGCGTACGGTCCGTGTACACGTGACAGTGTCCTCACAGAACCTAATGTAATCTGTAATGCAGTTGGTCATGGTATCAATGTCCTCCCCATGAGGCTCACAGAGTGCCTCCCAGTTCGTCGACCCAAAGCAGTCCTGCAGTGCCTCTGCAGCTTCCGGCGACCACCTCCTCATCGTCCTGGTGTGCACGGGCTGCCTCCTCACTAGAGGAACATACCTGGGAGACAGTCTGACCAAGTTATGGTCTGACCGTCCAAGGGGGGGAAGGGCTGAGGCGCTGTATGCATCCTTAGCATTAGCATATAGGAGATCCAGTGTTTTATTATCCCGGGTGAGACAGTCCATATACTGCTGAAAGTTGTTAAAGGTTTTGTCCAGTGGGGCATGGTTAAAGTCACCAGTGATGGCCAAAAAAGCGTCCGGGTGTTGAGTTTGAAGTTTTGCCACGGTCGAGTTGATGACATCACCAGCCGCCGCTGCAACAGCTGATGGGGGAATGTAAACCACGACCATTATGACTAACGTAAACTCCCTCGGCAGATAATACGGACGTAGTCCCACAGCCAGAAGTTCAATGTCCGGGGTACAGATCTTCTCCTTAACGTTAATATAGCCGGGATTGCACCACCTCCCAGCCAGCATGCCTAGGTGGGACCCATGTGGGGACAAGGAGGGCAGACTATATGGGTCCCATATGGGTTTGTC